CTTTGCCCTGAAGGGTGTCCTGGATCAGAGTGAGGGTCCCCACTGGGGTGCCTGGCCAGCCTGGGTGAGGGGATGATGGCTGTTTGCAGCTGGTCACACACCCTTCAGGGTCGGGGTCCCAACTTGGGTGCCTGGCCAGTCTGGGTGAGGGGCTGAGAGCTGTTTTCTGGCGGGCGGGTGACTGAAGTTCCCCTTCCTTCCTTTCTTTCTTTCTTTCTTTTTTATAACTGTTATATATTTTTTAAATATATTTTAATGATTTTTTAGAGAGGAGGGGAGAGGGATAGAGAGTTAGAAACATCAATGAGAAAGAAACATCGATCCGCTGCCTCCTGCACACCCCCCACTGGGGATGTGCCCGCAACCAGGGTACATGCCCTTGACCGGAATCGAACCTGGGACCCTTCAGTCCACAGGCTGACGCTCTATCTACTGAGCCAAACTGGTTAGGGCTGGATCTCCATTTCTTATTTGTAAAGTAAGAGCAGAAATCTCATTCTGCCTGCCTGCCTCTGAGAGTTATGTTGAAGATCAAATGAAATCATAGATACGAAGATGCTTTGCAAACTATCAATAACTGGACAATGTATGATTTGTTATTATGTTTTCACACAGTTATGCAATACAATAAGCTTTCTAAGACTAGTATATACCTAGGAAAGTATATGCCTTAAAAGTCACAATTGTCCTATGCTTTTCAAAATGTCTGCTGCCTACTGTCTTTTAGTCTGTACATAAAATAAGACTTCACATCTGCATGGCTCCTTGATTGTCACTGTTACTTTGTATGATTTCAAACTCTCAACAGCCTGCCCCTGGTTTATCTATATGTTCTATTTTGGAAACTAGAACTTGATCCTAATGAGAGTAAATAGGTTCTTGGCTGAAATATGTTTTAATGAATTACCTTTAAATAAAAACAATTAAGTCTGTATCAGTATTACCAATTGAAGCATGTGTAGCTAATAGCTATTCAAGTAGGAGAGGTTTCGAGGTTTGATCATATGGGTGTATTACTAATATAGGAACAATGAGGAGGTATCGATGTCAATAAATGAACAGTACTTCATCTAATTAGACCCCAGGTCCTCTCTTAACTGATGTTCTTAACATGAAACTGACGTGTGTGTCTTGCCTCTGCAGGTGTCATATATTACACTGTGCTAGGGCATGGCTCTAATTTTGGTGCTATCAAACGTGCCTACATCCCCAACTTTGAATCTGGCAGTAACAACCATGTGCAAGTAATTGACCTGGGCCTGAAATACATAATGCAGCCAGATGGCTTAGCAGTGGACTGGGTTGGAAGGTAAGTTTAGTGTATATTCCCCTATTGCCCATTCTATTTACCTGGTCAGAGCTCCTTCCTGTTCTCCTGGGCACATGAGTTAAGCTGGACCTGGATATGGGTACACTCAGCCACTGGTGCAGCTGGAGAAGGCCTGGGCTTGTTCTAGCCCCAGCAGCCACCCCTGCTTACACCAATGTGTCCTATAAATATTATCATTTACTTTATACTAGAGGCCTGGTGCACGGATTCGTGAATCTGTCCTATAAATATTATCATTTACTTTATACTAGAGACCTGGTGCACAGATTCATGAACCTGTGGGGTCCCTTGGCCTGGTATGCAGGGTTTGGGCAGGGGGTCCCTCGGCCTGGTCTGTGGGGTTTGGGCAGAAACTGGCTCTCTGACATCTGTGATGGGTCCCGGATTGTGAGAGGGTGCAGGCCAGGCAGAGAGACCCCACTGGTGCATGATCGGAGCTGGGGAGGGATTTTGAGAGCCCCGGATTGTGAGAGGGTGCAGGCCAGGCAGAGAGACCCCACTGGTGCATGATCGGGGCTGGGAGGGATTTTGGGAGGGCTCCGGGGCATGTCTAGCCCTTCTCGCCCAGTCCCAATTGGCAGGACCCCAGCAGCAAGCTAACCTATCATTGGAGCATCTGCCCCCTGGTTGTCAGTGTGTGTCATAGCGACTGGTCGAATGGTTGGACACTTAGCATATTAGGCTTTTATTATATAGGATGTGCCATGAAAGAGTCTGGAAAAGAACAAAGGTGAAGACTCTATATTTATATCTAGGAGAACATTCTTGCCAACAGTGTTCTGGATCCCAAAAGTGTCTTGTAGTATGGCAGAACTATTGATTTTGTGAAGAAATGGGACATACTCACAATTATCCCAGCAAAGCAGTTGTGATGAAACATTTTTCTCCATGGTAATTATTTCAGGGAGGAAAAACCCACACCTTGTGTTTTGGGCAGACTGTGTTGTCTAAACAGATTGGAAATTTGACTTTGCTGTAATCTTTGGGTTGTTTGTTAATAGCTATATTGGATCCATTGTCTTCTTAGATTTTCTAGAACCCCAGGGAGCAGAGCCACACATTTTGGATGGTTTATCATAAGGTAGATGCATGAGATGCAAACTGATGTGGAAAAGTCAGTAAGCTCCTTCTTCATGGAAGAGCCTTGCACTGGAGTGACATTGGTGGCAAGCGGTAACATTAGAACCAGAGCTCAGGCATTTATAGAATCCCCTTGTCCTTGAAAGTGAACTAACAGTGGGAAAATGTTTGCAAGGGAAGGCTTAGGCTTGCTGCCTCTCGGGGAGAATGGAGAGTCACTTGTCATACGGAATAATTTTTACCTTTAAACAACTTGTCTGGTGTTCCTGGAAGATTTGAACATCTCTGAAGTTAATGAGGTCCCCACTGTGCCTGCAGGCTAACAGGAGAGACTTATTCTAGCATGTTCTGCCATGAATCTAGGCCTCAGCGAATTAGGAACTTGAAACTCTTGACTTCAACACTTCCTCCGCAAAACCGAGCAGGCAATACCAGATCTGTTTTCCTGTTTGAAGTTTTACCTCTTTCTCAGCCTTAATGAATGAGTGAATTAAGAAACAGATGGAAATCTTTCTGCCTGGGAGGGACTGAGACCTGCAGTCTTAGGGATGGAAAAAGGGCAGGATGGCTTCAGTCTTAGACATGGAAGAAGGGCAGGATGGTCGCAGTGTTAAGGATGGAAGAAGGTCAGGATGGCCACAAGTTTAAGGATGGAAGAGGGGCAGGATGGCCTAGCTGAGTTTGTTATTTGGAAAGGCTATTTCCACTCATCCTTGGAAATGATGCCAGATTCCTACTGATTCCAATGGGGTTCTTGGCTGAGGAGGAAGCCGACTCATGGACAATGAGAATGAAAGGGCTGTCCAAAAATTGCTTAAAGCTTCTACCTGGAAGTACATGTCTCATAAGAATGCCAGATGTGAGTCCATCATCATTTGATCCTGGCTGATTCAGCTGCTTTGACTGATCAAGCAGGAGTTCCCCCTTTCCCTCTCTTCTCCACTTGTAACCTTCCACAGATGTCCCCTTGGCAATCCCTAGTGGGGGAGACCATGCCCAGGTCACTAGAAACTGAGTTGCTGTCATGCCAGCCGGGATTTCCAAAATAAATGTTCTCATCCTCAGAACTCCTAGAAGTGATCAGTCTAGAATTGTTGCTTGTTTAACACTGTCCCTCTAAATTCAGGCATATTTACTGGTCGGATGCCAGGAGTCAACGGATTGAGGTGGCTAAACTTGACGGGAGGTACAGAAAGTGGCTCATTACCACCCAACTAGATCAACCAGCTGCCGTGGTTGTGAATCCCAAACTAGGGTAAGTACTTGAAGGAGCATTTAATGTTCTAGATATTTTCTACTTGGACTCTCAAAAAAAAAAATTTACATGTATTTGATTATTTTTTCCTAATTGCACTAAAATTGTCTTTTGACTTTTTTGGAGTGACATCTATGACTATTTTCAGGAATTATAATATGCTCTAAAGATCATTTAGGACCAACCAGGTTTCACATCTATGCTGTGTAAGGGGAAGGCCTCTGGCCACATATTTTCCAGACCCCAGTTAATCTAAATTCCACACATTCCTCAAAAGAATTTAAGGATGGATCTATACCTGATGATTGGTTTAGACTAGAGACTGCAAAGTGGTGGCTGGTAGGCTAATATGGCCCATAAGCATATTTGACTTACTGAGTTGCTCACATTTTTAAAGTTTTAAAAATCTGTATTTGGTACTTGAAAAATCAGAAGTGTTAACACTAGGTAGGTATGTCTTCCTTGAGGTAGTGTTGCCTGGAATTTTTAGACAAGACCTTGTCTGCCCTTCACTTCATGTGTATAACTACTCTGCTCCATGCATTTATCTTACCTGCCTGATCCTTTCTAGGGATTTGAAGTGGCACAATCCCTGGTCTACTCAATTCTTTCATAATTAAGCCTTAATTGGATGCAAAATAATTAATGCCTTTTAAAAGAGTTCGATGGTAAGCTTCCTGTGGGTAGGAATCCTTGTTGGATCTCGGAGACATCCCACACACAGAAGAGTGCCTCTCGCACAGAGGCATTCACTCAATATTTTTTGAAGAAGGAACAGCTTTTTAAATGATGTATATATTTTACAGGGTCTGGGTGTATATCATTGGGCAGGGCTGCGCAGTCTCTCTTGAGAAGATGCAGTTTTCAGGAAGGGGAGATCACAGGTGCCCTGGCTGCCCCCTTTCTCTCTCTCTTCTCAAGTAAAGTGTAAAAACAGCATGACTTAGCACTAGGGCTCTAAGAAAAACAGCTGGCTTTCCTGTGGGAAGTCCATGCTCCACTTCAGGGGAGGAGCCTCACTAGATGAAATGCTACAACAAGGAGACTTTCTGTTACAGGCTTATGTACTGGACGGACTGGGGCAAGGAACCAAAAATCGAGTCAGCCTGGATGGATGGGCAGCATCGGAGCATCCTGGTCCGCGAGGACCTCGGTTGGCCGACTGGTCTTTCTATTGATTATTTGAACAATGACCGAATCTACTGGAGCGACTTCAAGGAAAAAACGATTGAAACCATAAAATATGATGGGACTGATAGGAGAATTGTTGCCAGTGCAGGTTAGAAATTAGTTCGAATTTAATGTTCAATAATCAATTAATATCTTTCCAATCTCTTTGCCTATTTTCTCAGAAAGGAACTCCAATTTTAAGAAGTGGTTTATGTTAATTCTTAAATATCACTTTCCCCAGCTCTCAGCTGCTGATTTAAATGCAAATGAACTCCTTAGCAATGCTGTAATTAAGTTCTTTTTGTTCTTTTTACATAATTTTTAAAAATGCTCTCAGCAGCAGATATTAAAATGATTGAGGTTCCAGTTGAGTTACCTTGAGAGAGGAGGTGGTCCTATGGACCGGGCTAACCCATGTCTAACCACTTTTAGACACATTTGTTCTTATCGTGCTGGATTGTTCATTTTGCACAACTGCAAACACCTAGAAGGAGACAAACATATTTTTTCTTATCCAGATTGTCGAACTGCAGGAATCCAGCACGTACCAGGTTTTCCTGATAAGCCGCGTCTTGTTTTCAAGGGAAAAAAATTCACTGCCATACAAATTGTTTTCCAAAAGTAAAATAAAGTCAGCAACTTGAAAGTGAGCAAGTCCCCTACCATGGGGATTAACCAGTGGGCACTCATCTAGTTTAATTTTCGTTATCTTGATCTCTCAGGAGAGCATACTTCTGCGGTTTTGTGCACAGAAAGTCTGCTTGACTGTTCTGGATTGTCAGGCATTGCATTAGTGATGAATTCACGCAGAAGGAAGGCTGACGCAGAGGTGGGGTTAGGTTCTCTTTTCAGTAACCTGCTTTTCTTTCTCCCTGTGGGCAAGCAGCAGTGGACCCTTACAGTCTTGACATCTTTGAAGGCCAGTTATACTGGGTATCGAAGGATAAGGGAGAAGTATGGACACAAGATAAATTTGGGCAAGACAAGAAAGAGAAAATGATGACTGTGAGCCCTTGGCTCACTCAAGTTCGAGTCCTTCATCAACATAGATACAATCGGTCAGGTAACCACTAACCTCGGAATACGAGGTTCCTCATTCTTTCAAATTAATGGCTATAGTGTTGGAAAATGGTCGTGGATTATAAGAGGTTGATCTCCTGGTGCATGAAAGGCGTGTGTGTGTGTGTGTGTGTGTGTGTGTGTGGTTTTTATTGGAGGTTAGATGAAATTATTTATGCCACCAGCAGATATGAAGTAACAATATTTCAGTCCTCGCCGTTTGGAGTTATGGGTATGTATATCCAGGCCACAGCATCCAGCAGGCATCAGACCCCTGCTAGCTATGAGTTGCGTTAACAAGTCACAGTGTGGGTTTCCTGGACATCATCAGTTTGACCCATTCCTTGCAACTAGGCTAGTCTTACCCTGGGCTGTGTGAGCCTTAGCCTGAGATTGTCCGGCAGGTGCACTTCCATCCCTCCCCCTTTTTCCTATTAGTTCTGGTTCCCACTTCATCAGGTGACCTGTGTTCTAATTCATTGTAAGGTGAAATGGAAGGGACATTTTTGAAGTGAGGAAAGGACATAGACTCTTAAATTCTAAATGTCAGATTCTCGTGTCACATAAGGAAACTGTGGATAGGAGAGATTCAGTAACTCATATGCCCAAGTTGCACAACCAACAGATACGTTTTTAAACTTAGAAGTGATTTTAAAATTCAATTGCATTGAACCCAGAGCTCAACATCTTTCCGGTCAAGCTGTGATCAGTATACCTCGATCCAGGTTGAATTCTGTCATGGGGGGGACCTTCGATAAGTTGCTTCCCTTCCCATCCCTGTATGCGAAACAAAGGTGGAGCCTGAGGTCCCCCTAAGTTCACTAATCCTCTGAGACCCCGAATCAGACTTAACAAATTGGAGCTCAGAGATAAACCTTCCAGGAGATGACACTGGTAGTACATGCCCTTTCTGAGGCTTCACTGCCTGTGTGGCTGATAGTGATCGCTGGTTCTCCAGCCCTTTTCCAAAGCACCTCAGCTCTCCTGTCCTAAGCGCTCCTGCAGCTCTCACACTGGACGGTTCTAAAGGCAGAGCAGTTACCTGGTGAGCCTCTGGCCCCTGTGGAAAAGGCTGCCCAGGAGTCAGGCAGAGGAGAATCTGGAGACTCCCTGAAGGAAAAGCATCAGTCAGCTCAGACTCTGGCCGCTTTGGAAAGTGCCGCGTGCTGCTGTGTAAGCCAGAGGCCCAGCTCTAGCTGTGCCAGGTTACATTTGCTCTGGACCCATAGTTCTCCTCGTTTAGCCTGCGTCAGGATCATCTAGAAAGCGTGTTGAACACATTGCTGTGCCTCACCCACAGGAATTCTGATTTAACATGCCGGAGGTGGCCTGAGAAGTTTGCCTTTCTAGCAAGTACCCAACTGACGCTAAAGTCGCTGGTTGGAGGACCCCATTTTGAGAATCCCTGCTCCAGGCCCTGCTCACAGTGTGGGCCATGGGCCAGTGGCGTGGGTAGCCTGTGGGAGCTGGTTAGAAATGCAGGTTCTCAGGCCATGCCCAGCCCTTTAGAGTCAGATTCCCCAGGCGTTTTGCATGACATTAAAGTTTGAAAGCTCTGCTCTCGAGAGCTGAAGACATGGTAATGGGATAGGTTCTGAATTAGGCTTTTGGAATGTGCCTTTTTATTTTATTTATCGCCATGCCTTGTCTATAGTTACATTTTAGGTGACCGAGAATCAGGATCACAGAATGTCAGTGTGAGAAGGAATTTAGAGATCATCCAATCCTTTGATAAATCTTAATATATGCTAGGATAGAATTTAGATGGCTCTGTAATTATACGAGAGACTTTGTAACAGTGGTAATGGAGCCCTATCCCAGAACAATGTAAATATAAATTTCTGTGACTGGGCAACCATCCTTGTGAATAGCTCCCATCTGATTCTGTTAATCATGGCTCAAAATCCCCTCGTCTTACAAATAAGGGAACTGAAGCCCAGAGGGATGTTCTCCTTGGAGGGCGAGGGTGGAAGTCACATCTAGTATATGCTTTGGATGGTCCACGCATTCTGACCTATTCAAATGGGGATAATGATAAATCTTGCTGCTGTGTTAATGGAGTCTCAGCGGTGTTTTGAACTATCTCAAATTGCTTAGCACTGATTAGTTTTCGAGTGATCAGGCACCTCTCTGTCAAACATGCCAGGGCAAAGAGGAGATAGTGATGCCAACAGAAAATGGGAGTGGTGCAGAAGTAGGGTGGAGGGCACAGGGAGGGACTGTGTCACTTTGGTGGGGTGGCCAGGGGCTGGCAGTGTAAATGAGGGTGAATGGCCAGGTGGCACATGGCCTAGAGGTGTTGGGATGTCAACTGTGAGGGCCACAACTCGGTCCATGGGCATATCCCTGGTTGGGTTAATCATTTCCTCCTTTGATCCTAACCGTGGTTCTCATCTGCTTTTCAGTGCCCAACCGCTGTAAAAATGTCTGCAGCCATCTCTGCCTCCTGAGACCCGCAGGATACAGCTGTGCCTGTCCCCAGGGCGCCTCCTTTTTGGAGGGGAGCATGACTGAGTGTGATGCAGGTAGGGGCACTGCCTGGACAGCCTCAGGGGCCTGGGAGAGCTGTCTGCCTTCTTTAGGAGATTCCCTATCCATACTTCACCTCCTTCAGGAGCCTGAAGAATCCTGTGTACTAGGTCCATTGCACATTGGAGCGGTGATGGCTAGGAGGAGGGACAAGAGATGGAGGAACTGTGTCCCGATGATTTCTGAGAATTATTTGCTAAGAACTTCAGAGATAGGTTCAGTGTCCATACATCTATAATTGTGTTGTTTTGCAAAGACATTTTGAAAATGGAATTTTCTATATGGCCTTCTTTCCCTTCCCACCCGACCCTGGATGACTACACCCCTGAATCCATTCAGCCTTACCTGGGTTCCTTTAGGTGGAGGACCAGGTTCCTGAAGTGGGGGCTGGGGGCTTATAGAGGGGAGGGCTGTTTTCCTCACTTGCTCATTTCAAAGTTTTGACAATCACAAAGGACCACATTATAAAATATACCTGTGCTTTTGGGAGATGGAGGCCAGAGTAGGAAATGCTATGGATAATCTATGCATGGCAAGACATTTTTTCAGTGATTCTTAAGTTAAGGAGCTAATAAGCGATGGGGAATAACTAGTGTCTATAACTAGTATCCAGTACTTGATAAGTTCTTTAAAAAAAATCATACTGCTGTTGTTCACTAGTGGCCCATTCGATGGCTCACATCCCCCAGTTTTAGACAATGGGGGATGAAGAGGATTAAGGCACTACCTTGGGACTCTTTCCAACCAGGCTGAAATGTTGGCAGGTTTACAGAATGAACTCAGGGTAAAGAAACTGCTTCCCTCTGCCTCCCTTCCCCTATCCCAGTGCTACTGGGGAAATACTGGCAAGACTACACTATTTTGAAATATTTTGAGACTTATTCTATGCTGTAGATGGGTGTTCTGACATTAATTACAATCTCACATTGAAGGAGCCATGTCTAGGTTGTCACTTCATCTACTACTTTGCTCATTTACATGTAATTGCCAAGTGGATTATATTAAAATTCTCATTTAAAAGAACTTGAACCAAAGGTAGCACATTAATAATGGCAGTCATTTGTATGTGGTCTTGGTTTGGTATATTAATCAATCTATTTGATAAATATTTACTGAGTGCCTACTATGTGCTAAGCATTGTTCTAAGGGTTGGAGATAGTGAACAAAACAGACACATTCCCTGCTCTTGTTAAGCTTATATCCTAACAGGACAATAAATAGAGAACCCCATAAATATATGATGTCCGGTGGTGAAAGGAGAAAATTAAAGCAGGGTAAGAGGGGTGAGGGTGGGGTAGGAATGGGATAGAGAGTTCCAGAAGGCCTCTCTGATAAGGAGTCCTTTGAGTAGAGACTCAAATTGAGGAACTGTGCCAGAAGGGTATTTGAATAAACACACAGTACTTATTGAGTATCTTCTAAGTATTATACATGGACACACCAATGACCCATCAGGCACATGCAGGGAGTACTTAGGTGCAGGGACCCAGAGCAAGGGCAGTTTTGGAAGACTTAAAAAATGAGGTCTCTAACCAGCTGTCTGTCAAGCATCTTTATGTCTGTTTATTGGTTAATGACTTGCTGATACTTTGGAGCCTTTAGTTGAAGTTTGGAGGTGTAATTGAACTCTTGATCTTAATGGGGTTCACAGAAGAGAATTATGAACAATTCAAATGAGAAGGGAATTCCTAAGAGACTTTTTTTTTTATTACATAGTTCCTTTGAACTATTAATGTATGTGCTGGGGTTTAATTGTTTTTGAGTGAAATTATATAAATTGCCTCCTTTTCCCACCAAATGTATGTTACTCTCCAAGACCTTATTATTGATAAGGAAATTCATCTGACTGAAGGGGAAGGGAAGGTTTTGATAGGGAGAGTAATTAGACGCCCTGCCCCCAACCACCCCACCCCCATCCTAGGCTGGAAGCAGGATTGCCTGGTGTGGGTGCTTTGCTGAGTACGGCCCACTAACACGTGCATGGCTTTCCCTTTCTGCAGCTGTGGACAATCCTATCACCATGCCGCCCCCATGCAGGTGTATGCACGGAGGAAATTGCTATTTTGATGAGAATGACATCCCCAAATGCAAGTAAGTCTGAATGTTGAGGGCTGAGCTATGGGTTTTGCTTTTGGGGTAATTCTAGACCTTAAAGAAAACAAGGATAGGAACCTTGCCAGTTCACTAATTATCCCATCTTAACCAGCTTGCCCTCCCTTGGGGAATCCACAGAGAACTAAGGCAGTGCTTCTCAAACTGTACGGCTCCTAAGGACCACCTGGAGTCTGGACCAAATGCCCCATCCATCTTATTCACAGGGATTCCACATTTCTAACAAGCTCCCAGGAGGTGCCACAGCATTGTGGGCCACCCATGTGGGGAGAAAGGAGTTAGAGAAGTGACAACTACCACATTTTCCTACTCATCTGGTCTTGTCAGTTACAACTGGATTATGGGAGAGGGGCTGCTCAGCAGAGCTGCTTTAAGACCAGGCATACATGAGGAGCAGAGACTGAGTTCAAGACTCGGGAAGGAGAGAATTGTTGAGAAAGCTCTAACACAGAACAAGATAAATGGAGGTCTTTAAAAGTAATGAAATCACATCAAAGGAAAGGACACAAAATGGTTTCCATTTTTACTCCTTAAGGAAAAGGCTGATGGATTAGAGAAGACACCAATAGGTTTATTTGATGAGATTGACCTTGTAGATGCCACAGCTATTTCATTGAAAGTGAATTTCCAAAGTCAGATTACTATTCATTCTGCTCTTCCACTCTTGGCAGAATAAATGGAAGTCATGCGGGATATATTGTTCAACATATAATTTACTCAGCCAAACTTCTCTCTACCTCAAGATGTGCTTAAAAAATTGCAGTAGACGCCTAAGAAGGCAACATCTTGTGAACAATTCTTCTTTTCCTTTCAGGTGTCCCACTGGCTACATGGGAAATTACTGTGAAATAGGGCTTTCGAAAGGCATTTCTCCAGGAACAAGTAAGTTTGAAGAATATGAGCTATCTGGAAATACTTCCCAGTGCCTAAATTGAGTGCTATTTATATTCTGTGTGACCCAGTCTTTGAGGAATGGATGGTGCTACTCCCCAGCTTCTGCAGCTAAGACTGGCTCTTCTCCTTTCCATGTTAACGTGTTCGCTTCTTCTCCCCTCCTCGATGGCAGCAATGGCCGTGCTGTTGACAGTCATCCTGATCATCATCATTGGAGCTCTGGCAGCGTTAGGATTTTTCCACTACAGGAAGACTGGCTCCCTTCTGCCCTCTCTGCCCAAGCTGCCAAGGTCAGTTCCATTATGTGGAGCATTTATTTTAGAAGCCTGTGTGATGGGACCACGCGAAAACAACGAACTTGGTTGTGTGTTGTTTTTATAAAGTTAAAAAAGCACAATACATAGCTCACCTGTTCTGCAGGAACCAAAGGGAGGGAACTGAAAGCAGTCACTTCACATCACAACTTCTTATCAAGTGCTTCAAACAAACCTGAAGGCAAATCACATTTTCTAGTCCACGCGGTTGTGCCTGCTGGTGGGCATTCAGGTTAGGTGGAGAGCAGTCGGCTGTGTGAGGGCGAGGCTGGCCCTCTGTTAGATCTCAAAATTGCCACTTCCAGGGGGCCCAGGGGATGCACTAGAGTGGGAACCGGACACTTACTTCCTTTTAGTAAGACTTAGCAATATGGAGGAAAGGGTACTCTTGCAAAAGGCTGTTAAAAAAAACAATAACTGTTTCGATGGCTTCTTTTCTCAGCTTAAGCAGTCTGGTCAAATCCTCTGAAACTGGGAATGGGGTGACCTTCAGATCAGGGGCCGATGTTAACATGGATATTGGAGTGTCTGGTTTTGGCCCTGAGTCTGCTATTGACAGAGCAATGGTGATGGTGAGTGTGGTTTCAAAATGACTATGTGAAGGTTCTCATTTTTACTGTTTTACAAAAGAAGCACTTTTTTTTTTAAAAAAAAGAAAAGAATAAAATTAAGCTAGAAAGAAAACAAAATTGTATGCCTCTCAGAAGAAACTCTTCACTATACATACAAGCTAGGAAACATTAGGTTTGTTGCAGACAGAAATGTGCCGAAAAATGGTAAAGTTGAAACTTTTTTTGCTCTGTGCCACTCTGTTGAATTGGAATCCTAAGCAGTCTTAATTAAGTTTAATTAGAATCCTAAACAGATTTTTGGGAGAGGAGGGGAAAGAGAGTATGATATTCTCTTCTTATTTGATGATCTTTGTATTTTGAAAGGAAGGAATAAGGAACTACATGTTCCCTGGTGTTGTTTATTTTCCCACCAATGTATAGTGATGGAATAAACAGTAATTTTAGAGTCAGCGATTGGTAGCAATAACTCTGCTGCCTTCTAAATTAATAGGCATGGAGCTTGACCTCTCTGTACAATGGGTACAGTAATACCTGCCTCCATCTGTAAAATGCCTCCTGTGAGGACCAAATAGATATTTCATGAGTGGGCTAGTACAGGTTAATCAGTATAGGGAAAGCAATTTCAGCATTCTGCCTTTCCCCCAAGCTTTCATTTTTGCCCTGCCTAAAAGCACACAATTATCTCTTCTTTCCTCCTCCCTCTTCTCTACTTTGCTCTTTTTCCACCACCCACCCTTTTCTCTGTTGTTCAAACCCAACCCCCAGGTATTAAGGTGCCTAGACATAGGAAGAGTGTTTCCATTTTCTTGAGCTGACTGGTTAGTCCATTATGTTACTTTACATCAGCAATTTTCATCCCGTGTGCCACAAGAATTTTTGAAACATGCCATGCTTAATAATTTAGTCAGGGGCACTGACCTCTTTTCCCTTAGTTGGTCAAATAAAAAAAAAATGACAACAGCCAACACAACAATAGCCATTTGATGTGAATGAATCAAAATTATATCTATTTTTTTGGTCAGATCAGCAAAAATATCTCTTTTTTGGTGTGCTGCAGAATTTTAGTAATTCGTTTTTGTGTGCAATGAGGTGAAACAGGTTGAAAATTGCTGCTTTACATAGTGGTTTGCTGGGTGCAGGTCTTCTATCTCTGCTGGGGGTTATTTATTTACGTATTTTTGCCATTTGGGGGAAAATTTGACATAGCACCTAGCATGCCTCTAGGCATGAGGAGAACACCTTCCTGTATGTGTGAATCAGGTCAGTATGGCACAACCTTTTTTCCTTTACCAGAGTGACCACTTCACCATGGAGATGGGGAAGCAGCCCATAGTCTTTGAAAACCCAATGTATGCGACGCGGGACAGCGCTGTCAAAGAGGCTCCGCAAGCCCAGGTGAGCCGTCACACGGGCCTTTCTTCCAGGTACTACGACTGCTGGACCTTGCTCTTTTGAGGAATGAATGCCGCTCAAATGGAAGGAAGCATGTGGTCCAATCCTCAGCTTCACTGTCTGCAGTAACAAGACTGACCCAAGGACGTGATATCTGAATACAACCAGAATCCTGTTCTGTCGTACAGTTGTTGATATTTGGCAACCATTCTGGGGGTGCTGACTAAGAACCTTTTCATTTTGAAAAAAACATATATTTACTGATTTTTTAGAGAGAGGAAGGGAGAGGGAGAGAGAGAGAGAAACATTGATGAGAGAAACATTCATTGGCTGCCTCCTGTACATTGGGGATTGAGCTCAAAACCCAGGCATGTGCCCTGACCCAGAATCGAACCAGCAACCTCTTGGTGCATGGGACAACGCCCAACCAACTGAGCCACACCGGCCTGGTGAGACCCTTTTTATTCCGAGTGGTCAAAGCAAGAGGATTCACTCTGAATCCGTTTAGAGGCTTGGTAAACACAGTGCCTGACTCACGAGGCTCCCTATAAATATTAGAGAGATAAATGATTGAATGATTGACAGGTCATCATGCAGAGATTTGGGCTTACTCTCTGGGTTCTTACTGGTATCACAAATGTGTGATTTGAGGTGATCTCCCTATGCTTGCCTTTCTCATACTTTTCTGAAAAGTAAAAACATCTCCAAAGAGGCAGATACTGACATTTCTTTGATGAAGCCCCACTGCTCACTTATCTTGCAGAGGAGCAGGGAGATGAGACAGTGTATGCATGAAGGGAAAAACTTTTCAGTAGGTCAGTAGCCCCAACACCACTTCCAGTGCGTGTCCGAGGTTAGCCTGTGCTTCCTTTGTCAAAACCACTGTGGCCTCAGTGAAATACAGTTTTAGTGTTAACACCTAACCTTCTTTTGTAATCACAAGATAATGGTACGTTTTAACACAAGATAGGAATGTTTATTTTATGAATAGCTTCCTTAAGATCAGAAATGTTTGAATCTTGAAAGCATTTCACCTAATGCTCTGGTAGCCAGGTAGCAAAACTTTGGTTGCATGGTAAGATCAATATGATAATTAATTTGACATTTTCACTTGAAATAAAATGAGGCCATGTTTACAAACACATACCCAAGTTCAAGAAGAAATGAAGGGGGTGAATGCAAAAATATAGGAAAAGGAGGGAATTTCTATTATATATATATATCTCCATGGTAGTTTGGGATTAAGAGGGAATGTCTGGAGGAATATTACTAGTAATTCCATTATACCTCACTTAAAAGATGCAATCCCTGGTAGTTACAGAATAGTCACAGAGATGTAAATTACAGCATAGGGAATATCGTCAATAGTACCATAATAACTATGTGTGGGGCCAAGTGGGTACTTGGAACATTGGGAGGACCACTCTATAAAGTACATGATTTTTTTAAACCACTATGCCATACATCTGAAATTAATACAGAATAAGAATGAATGTGAACTGTAATAAAAATTTTTAAAAATATAAAAATGTAACCCCTGTTAAGCAGTCTGCTGAAATTATTAGTTTTATTCTAAATATCCAAAGATAAGATTCTTAGTTTACTAATGAGTTTGGTAATAATTCATGCTGTTCTCCCAGGATTTTGGCTGCCAATGTACAACCAGAGTATCTTTTACCCCAAACTATAGTCCACAGCGGGAAGAAGGGGGCATGGAGAAAATAATAGAAATTGCTGTTACTGAGAGAGAGTGTGACCAGTGGTGGATGTATTTGCCTCCCAGGATTAAGGCATGAGATAGATGACTTAGTGGCTGGTGCTGCTGACTCTGGGGAAATGGGAGGGGAATTTATTCCTGGGCTCCAAGGTCAGCCTCCTATAATAAAATTGGTGCCTGACCATGTCTGTGGGCAAAACAGAACCAAGGACTTGATAAGAAACTTCACAGCAAAAATTCTTTCAAAACTGGATAACAGCCTCTAATATTTACACAGGTGACTGCATTGGAAAATGTGGAGAACAAGAACTATGAATGTCCCATAAACCCTTCTGAGATAGCTCCAGACACAAAGCCAACTTCCCCAAGTGCTGAAGGAACTCAGGTAATGGGCTAACCTCTGAAATGACATGGGATTTGGAGAGGACTTTGGAATTGCTGGATTTTTTTTATCCTAGGCAAACTAGGGAGACCCCAATAGGCTCATAGAGTCCAAGATGTCTAGGCAGTTAATAAAGATAATTTTTGAGAAATTATAAGTTAACATTTTCCCACCAAATAAATCTACATTCTAACACTGAGATGGGAATGATGTTCTTTGTGACATGGGAGATCACACAGAAGAGAAGGGCAACAGACTTCTGGGTCCAGCATCTTCAGACCAGAGGCATTTAATTTGAGAGAATGACTGAATATTAATAAAGAGCTCCCTGGGTCAAGGATACATACATAGAGAAGACCCTTTCCTTTCCTGTGTAATGCCGTTTTTCTAAGTGTACATATTCCCTTAATAATGTACGTTGTTCTTAGTTCTACTACTGTCACCTATGTTCACCACTAGATGGCACTAATTTATACCCTCTTCATCTATCTGTCCACTGTCCAACCATCATTGCCCTCATTGTGCCAGACACAGTGTTTAATACTGGAGATTAAAAGAAAAAACTAACCACTGTATAGAGCTTCCCTACCATTCCTATAGTCCCTTGAAATTTTTAGATTGTTTGGTCTACAGAGAGAAATTCAATAAATAAATTTATGTAAAACTTTAAAAAATGTTTTTATTGATTTCAGAGAGGAAGGGAGAGGGATAAAGAGATAGAAACATCAATGATGAGAGAGAATCATTGATCGGTTGCCTCCTGCACACCCCTACCGGGGATAGAGCCCACATCCCTGGCATGTATCCTTGACTGGACTCGAACCTGGGACCCTTCAGTCCACAGGCTGATGTTGTATTCACTGAGTTAAACTAGCCAGGGCTTTATGTAAAACTTTGTATCACTAGTTTTCTTGGACGCATAAGAAGGTATCTGAGATCTAGCTGTTTGATTCTGAGCAAACTCTTTTACCTCTGAGCACTAGAGTCCTTAATGTTTCCCCTTGAGGGCATATTGGCAAATTGGTTGGGATGATTCTTTGTGGTATGAAACTACTCTATGCATTTCCGGGCATTTTAGAATTCCTGGCTCCTGTCCACTAAGTATCCTCATGTGTCCCACAATGCACTGTGATGCCAGGCTGGAAACAATAGGATCTGAATGTCTCAGTTCTAAGGTTCTAAGTCCTCTTCTGTGAAATAATACAAAGAAACACAAGTCTAAGGGTAGTTAGAAATTTTATCACTTTATATAATCCCTATTTCTCAGTACCTCAAACTTTTGTTCTGCTTGTTCAGGTCAAAATAAAAGTAGAAGAGGCACTTGGTTAGGATCACCCTAGGTCAGTGATGGCGAACCTTTTGAGCTCGGCGTGTCAGCATTTTGAAAAACCCTAAGTTAACTCTGGTGCCGTGTCACATATAGAAATTTTTTGATATTTGCAACCATAGTAAAACAAAGACATATTTTTGATATTTATTTTATATATTTAAATGCCATTTAACAAAGAAAAATCAACCAAAAAAATGAGTTCGGGTTCGATCTGTTCAAGGGCATGTATCTTGGTTATGGGCACATCCCCAGTGGGGGGGGGTGGGAGGTGGGTGCAGGAGGCTATTGATTGATGTTTCTCTCTCATTGATGTTTCTAACTCTCTCTCTCTCTCCTTCCTCTCTGTAAAAAAAAATCAATAATAGAATATATATTTTAAAAAATGAAAATCACCACCATTTCTTTGGTTAGTAATTGCTTAATTCTAGGCAGCCATTCCATGCTAAAGCAATGACTTTTAAGAGTCTGGGCCTTTCCCATTTAAGTGTAAGTTTCCAGAGGGTGGGCTCTGACACGAATGCCTTCATCTTCCCCTTCCCCATGTGTAACATAGGTCCACACTTAAATGTGGGTTGAAGGGAATGGTCTCTTCTACTCCTATAGTCAGGCGCTCCCCGCTCTGCATATTGGTCTCCTATTTTCACAGAGCAAGAGGCACCCCATAAAATGAGATACCTTAGCTACCTGAGAGACTGTCTGTTCCCTGTCTACCCTTCCCCAAGCACTTTCATCGGGCAGCCAGACCTGTGCCAGCATTGCCACCACCAGCAACGTTTTAGCAAGACAGGCACCGCCCATCATAGCCTAGGATGATTTCTCTTGGGATTCTTTTGTTTACGGGCTCTGAGTCCTGTAGTCTTTGCCTACTCTTCTACCTACAATTCAGTTATATAATCTTGCTGTGACTCCATGTTGTCATCTGTAAAATAAAGGTAATAAAGAGCACCTGGCTCACAGAATTATTGGGAAGATTCAACAGAAAGCCCCTGACACGTAGCGAGCTCCCAGTAAAGGTTCGTTGTGTTTGTTATCCCTGTTATTACTCTAATTACAGAAGGAAATGACGAGGGAAGAAGGGATATGCTTGAGTTGACCAGGGATCAAGATATTTTATGAAATGAGTTACAATATGACTTTTTCTTTAAAATTTCAGCAGCCCCAGAAGAAACCGCCTCCCTATCTCTATCAAAGCTTCTAGATATTATAGACATACATCCTATGAACTATAAAGTTCAAACCAAGGAAATGTTTTAAAATTATTCAATGAAAAGAGCCCAAAGAGTTACTGTTCAGGGACCATTGGAAGAGGAATTGAACAGTTCACCACATGGGCTAGGTCACATGGTCCTAGCTCCCAAATTGCCTTTTGCTTCAGTGAGAAAAAAACGTTAAAACCTGGACAGGGGTGGAGGTGGGGAGGGTGGAGGAAACCCATAAAAAGATTACTGAAGGTTTTCTGATTCCCCTTTTTCATTTAGGCAACAAAGTGGAATATCTTCAAACGAAAACTGAAACAAACTACCAACTTTGAAAATCCAATCTACGCAGAGGTAATTTTTTTTAACAATTTTTCTTAGCACAGGTGTTCCTTCTTAGCCATAATCACTTGCTTGGCTGCATTGGACATACCATCGGAATATTCTGAGCAAACTGGCAAAGATCCATCTTCTTTACACAAAGCTGTTTCTGGTCAGGTCGGGGGAGTAAGTGGCTAATTCATGTTTCCTTTGTGGTCTCAGATGGAGAACGAGAAAAAGGAAAGTGCTGCTGGGACTCCACCTCCATCCCCTTCGCCCCCTGCGAAAGTGCCTGCGAAACGAGCCCCAGCTCCTGCCTATACCGCCACAGAAGACACTTTTAAAGACACAGCAACTCTTGTTAAAGAAGACTCTGAGATGTAGCTGTGCTACAGTTATTTAGGGAATAATTAGAAACACACTTTTGCACATATATTTTTTACAAACAGATAAAAAATGTTAACAGTCAGTACTTTATTAAAAAATATATTTTTCTTCTGTTCACCTGTAGTTGGAAATGTCTGTGGAAACTATGCCTTGTGTGTCTTATTTTTTTTTTTACTTAATGCCATCTCATATTTTTACAAATAATGATCACAATGTACTATATGTATATCTTTGCACTGAAGCTCTATCTAAAGGTAATGCTATAAATATATTGTACATTTGTAAATTTGGGAAAGGTGATCACAACATTAAATTTGCTAAAGAAACTACCTGCTGAATTGGTCGGCGGTCATCCCAGAAAATGACCCAATGAGGAGAGGAATGGACTTGCGGTCCTTAGCCATGTCTAAGAAGAGGCTCCACTCGTACTCCCTGTAGAATTGCCCAGGAAGGGAATCCAGGCCCCCCCACCATTAGGTCCGTTTTTACACATCAGCACCTAATGTTCAATATCACCGGTAACCTGATTAATAAGTACATTGGCAGAGGGCACTGTGTGTTGCACCGACCTCTGGATTTGACTGTAGACAACTCAGCTAATGCAAGAAGGTGGAAAAAGCGATTTCATTTCACCCTCCTGCGTATTTGCATTGTCTAACCAGAACACTCTGTTTTACGTTATCTCACTAGTCACCCAGGCGACATTTTTATTTGTCATGTCTATGAAAAAATCCCATGTCGTTAAGCACAAGTTAGTTTGCAGAGAGTCTGTGTCTAATCGAATGACTTGTTTCATTTGATGGACCACAGGGTGACTCATGTCCTGGCCTGGCTTCTCAGGTGGTCACCTGCCCTAGACACGAGCTCAGTAGTTGAATTATTAAAACCAAATCCATGACTTCATAAAGTAAGGTGCGAAACAGCTACCAGCCAAGCAAAGACTCAACTGGGCTTTTGTTTCTGTGTGTGAAAATATCACTATAATGACTATTTATTTCCTAAGTTGAACATGAATAGAAAGGGAAACTGTTCTTATCGAGCCTTTTTGTAAGGTCCTTTGGCTAAATCATACATTTCTATCAGAATGCACTGTAGAGTCCAGCTCTGCCCTTGAATAATGGGTCTAGTCTCTACAACCAGGACAATGGCAGGAATATTCCATTGTCATAAGTAGCATTCCTGGTTCTCTGTGCTAATATTGCACGTTTTAAAAACAATGAATGAATGAATGGATGGACGAATGAATGAAACATGTACTACTGATTATTTTATTCCTGAGCTCTCAAAATATTTGTTGCTCGAATTTTGAGGGCTCATTGTAATTACTTTGAAATGTATTTTGATTAGAAAAGCAAATGGAAATGATGCTGCTGAAAATTTTCTAATAAATGTGTATTTTATCAGACTTCTTTTGTGTAATTCTCAAGCCTGGGCCATGAATCTTGTGTTTTGCTGTGCAGAGAGCTTGGGGCATTGAATGCTAGGGAACCTGAGAAAGGGCCCAGGCAGAAGCAGAGGGACTGTGAGCATTCAGCCACAATGGGCCTGGCGGGGAGATCTCAGGGATTGTACCCTGACCCGGGGACTTGAACCATGACCTCCTGGTTCATAGGTCGATGCTCAACTATTGAGTCATGCCAGCCCAGCAGGCTGGTGATAACTTCTGCTCAAAGGAAGCCTTGTTTAAACTCAGGTCTGAATGACAATAAGGAGCTTGCTAGCGCAAGATTTCCACAGAAGAGTCCATCACTGTTCTGCCTGCACTAAAATGGTGATAATTTTTTTCTTTTTTAAAAATATGTTTTTACTGGATCTCTCTCCAGGGAGCATGCCCATGCCTTTTCCTTCCCTCTCTATTTCCCTTTCTCTTCCCCTCCCCCTGACTCCCTCTCCCTAGGCCCCATTAGCTTCCTCACTCCCAAGCTCCAAGCGCCCTACCTTTACCTCTAGAACTTGTTTCCTAAGCCTGTTTCTTCTAGGAATTACTTTTTCTACCTCTATAATGTACCTAATAGGAGTTCTCATACAAAAAAAAAAAAAAAAGCTAGCCTAAAGACTTCCTCTAGTTTCCCTGGACTCTCTGAGTGGGCAGCCCCTTTAATTGCCTTTCAAAGCCAGGTGCCACCATGCCTTTTCCTTCCTTATACCCTAGGCCGGGAACCAGGTTCCCCATTTTGTCTCTGTGTCCTAGAGCTTAGCATTAAGTACCCACTGCTGAGGGTTGTGGAGATGGTCCCAGCTGGAGAGGGTTTGGTTCAAACTGGGATTCCACTTCAGTGGGTGCACTCTGGGGAGTGAGGGCTGTATCAGGAACTGAGTATCTGGAGTGAAAGGGAGCCAAGAGAACCTGTTCTTGAAAATGCTGGCAATCCCCAGCTTTCATATTTGTCTGGGGCTTTAAGCTCAATAAGAAATTATTCTGAAGAATCTATTTTCTGAGAGTTTCCTGCTTAAGTTCATTTCTGGGTTACTGTCCAGCGGCTTCCTGGTCCTAAAACCTTTCTTAACTCTTATCAAAACTTCCTGTCCAAAGGAAGCCTGCAGTGACTTGGAGGCTATTGAAGGCAGAGAAATGGATGCTGGCCCATGTCCACCACTATCTTGCCTTCAGTTAACATGAATGCAAATTGACAAAAGCTCTTGGAGGAGAGGGCTTCGCTCACATGAGGGACCTCCTTGTGCTGGACTGCCTTTGGGGTGCTCCTTCCCAGTGGGTGCTGGCTTCTCCAGCTATGAAGGGCCAAGCCAGCCCTGACTGGCTGCCACTAGCATTAACTTTTTCTTTGCATGAGTCGTTAGCATTTACATATACAACAAACCAACGCCTTGGCTTATTCTGTAGAGAAAGAAATCCGCCCAGACAGGCGGACTATTAGTGGTCTGCCTCCTGCTGTGTCTGATTATGCAAGGCCCTGGTTCCTGGGAAACAAAAGAGGCAGGCAAATGTGAGTTTGCCTGAGCTCTGCTTCAAAACAGAGGGTGGAGTCAAACAGCTCAGTTAGCTAACCTATCCTAATTTTTATTTGTAATTTCCTGGGCGGTCTCTCCTTAATCAAATGGATGCATGTCCTTTCTGCACTCTAACAGACCTTCCAACTTCACCTCCATTCTAGTCTTGTCACACATTATAATCGTCCTTCCGGAATCTCTCTCCTACCCTGTGTAAGTACTAGTATATTGGGGACAATGCTAGCTTCCACTCCTGTATCCCAGAGCCCCTGCTATTGCACCTGCCACTTAATCGATGCTGAATAAACATTAGGTCAGCAAATAAATACAGTCATGCACTGATTAACAATGGGGATATGTTCTGAGAAATTCATTGTCAGGTGATTTCCTCATTATATGAACATCATATAATGCCCTTACACAATCCTTGATGGTATAGCCTGTTGCTCCTATTCTATAAGCCTGTTACTATACAAACATGAAGTTAAATCAAACACAAGAGAAAATGATACAATAAGGAGGCACAGTGAAGATGTATGAGGTGGCTACTGTTTTATGGCAAACGTTTTTTTTTTAATAAGTAGAAAGAATATATTTAAAATGATAAAAGGGTGTAGTATAATAAATACATAAATCAGTAACATAGTCATTTATTATTATTACCGACTATTAGGTACTCTCCATAATTGTATTGCTGTACTTTTATATGACTAGCAGTGCAGATTTGTTTGCACCAGCATCACCAGCATTGTGCTGTGATGGCTACGATGCCACCAGGCCATAGGAATTTTTCGGCTTTATTATAATCTTGTGGGACCACGTCATTATGTGGCTCATGACTGTAAAAGGAGTACTTTTAGGCTAAGGCAAGAAAGAAACCCTCGCAATGAATCTGGAGCTTGCCGGGAAAGAGGAAAGATGTCATGGGCACACATTTGTCCTGCCTACCTCACAGGCTGGCTCAGAGGAGTTAGTGCATATGGTGCTGTGCTGGTCACCATAGGTACCATTGACACTTACAGCTTGACTTTTTTCTTCTTCTAAGCTCCTGGGACTTATAAAGGCTTTTTGATTGACTAAGATGGTCAAATGTTGTTTAAAAGACATCTGAAGAGTTAACATCAGACCATTCCAGAAAGATTCCTGAGAAGAAAGGAGACATTACTAAAAGTCACCTGGATGTAGTAGGAAGCTCCATCTTCCGTGTCACTGAATCCCTAAAAGTTACCAGTGATCCTGTCCAGAACAGGGCTGCGGAGAGCCACTCACGAAACCACTCTGGGTTCTGGCCTTTGAGCCCAGGCTCTGGTAGCTGGGGTCCACCCAACAGTCAGCACGCGCTGTTCTGTACACAGTACAGGGGCCCCCACTAACGTCGTGTGAAAATTCCTGGAAACGGCGACTCTAAGCAAAACGACTTATAATGAAACCAATTTTACCATAGCTCATTGATAGACACAAGAGTTAAATTCCTGTGGTATATTTCTGGTCACAAAAAGCATCGCCAAGCACTAAATAAAGACCCCACACACTTCTAATATTAGACATTAAAATGTGTGCTATATATACACTTAAGAAAGATTCATAAAAACAAGTAAGGTAACGATTTTCCAACCTGCTTATTCCAGTTCAGGGTCACAGGACATGGCAGTAGCAAGCGTCTAGGTCAGTGGTCGGCAAACTGCGGCCCCTTGAGTGTGGCTCTTCCACAAAATACCACGTGCGGGCGCGCACGTACAGTGCGATTGAAGCTTTGTGGCCACATTCAAGGGGCCAAAGAGCCGCAGTTTGCCGATCACAGGTCTAGGTAATTGTGAAACCGAATGAGAGAATGCACAAGAATGTAAGCTCCATGAGGACAGTGACCTTTTCCATTTGTGCGATAGTCCTAGTGCTCATTGTTCTGAGTTCCCAGATCGTGCTGAATGAATTACGTGGCACAGACCACTCCGCCCAGGGCCTGGAGCTCCTCCATCGTTGCTTCCCCACGTGGGAGGGCCAAGGCACAGTCAGCCTCATACTTGATCAAGAGTTGATTTTGCTGCCTTCCTTCTACAGTTCAGAGAGAGGGCTCGGACTTATCTTGCCGGTGGGTGGGGTCCTCTCCCGTGGAGGGTCTGTGGGGTGGAGCGGCAGGTCTAATGTTGGTGCCTGCAGATTGCTCTG